TCCTTATTTACTAGCAGGAGGTTTAATTAACAGAGACAATATTAATAATATTAAATCTGGAGATGGCTTATGTTTGTGGGAATTCTTACAGCACACAAATGACAACTGAGCTGTCTCATGTGATTTTTAAACATTAATTGAATAAGCACTGTTACAATGATGATGATGTTGAGGAAAAAACTATCACACCACTCAGCCTGTGTTTACACTGCCTCCACTAGGTGCCTCACTTAGTGTCCCTTTCCCAGTCGTGATCAAAGGCAGGGTTGCTCCTCGCCTAGCAGAACAAGCACGTCAGAAGAAATAACCGATGGGATAACAAGAAACAACTCCAAATGCTGGATGGCAGCAAGAAACCGAGGGCATCCTGAGGTCTCAAGAAAAGCAAGTACAAGTCACTATCACCACAGCACGCTGTAACACACCCAGTTGTTGCTCTGATCTAGGTCTCTCGCTACGTTGCCCAGGCTGGCCTGCAACTCCTAGGCTCAGGCAAGTCTAAGAACACAGGCTCCCAAGGGTAGGGAGCACACGCACGTGACACCCAGCTGGGAAGATGTGTCCCAGCAAATCCCACATTCAAGCAAGTGAAATGACTCTAGCACGCACTTGACTAGAAAGAGGCGACTGTCTTTTGTTTCAGTCTGAGACAGGATCCCACTATATAGTCCAGGCTGGCCTCAGCTTTGAGTGTGCCAAATCAGCTAGTTGAGATCGCTATTTTTAATCCTCATCTTCACTTTTTTAAAATTTATAACATAATTTATTCAAATTTCTGCTTGGGAAAGAATTTTTCCATAATTTTATTGAGAAATAAATAGCAATGAGACAGTTCCAAATCTGATTAGGACAGTTTCAATAATTAATACATTGCATATTGTCTTAGTGGTTTACTGTACAAGATGCAGACATGATATCCTGTCCACAAACACTATTAGAACAAATCTTTCTAGTCACTGAATTAAGAAAATGTAGCTGTATATCTATCCTATTTTGAATAGACAGATACAAAATGGTCGCTCATTTGTATCACCTTTTTTGTTTAGTTTTGTCATTTAAATATTACAGGTGTGTGAATTCACCAAAATATTCCAAAATAGTCCAGCAGTCCATAATAGTATTGGGCCTTCTGCTTGACTGGCAATGTCAGAAGTTGTTGACTTGAGCCTTTTACAGCTCAGCATATTGATATGGCTTTACTTTTTATACTTTGTTTTTATACTTTTCTGCTGGATGATTAAGACCAAGATAAAGCAAGACAAATATAACAAGAAATGTAGCTTTTGTATCTGATAAGGTCAGTCAAATTCCCTCTGGTCTTATCCTGAAACCCTGTACAGCAGTTTGTAGATCCTTTGTCAATGTCAGCCATGTGGATGAGTCATGGCCATTGCTTGACCAATCTGCTCTCTGTGAAAGCCTGAGAGAATGTTTTCTCTCCATGTGACTCCTTAGGCACACTCTACATCATTGATCACTTTCCTCTGTGGTCCCATAATCCCCTTGATCAGAAAATCTGGGACACAACTGAGTTACATGATGCTACAGTACAAGTTTTCATATGTCCTGAGTCTTCACTGACCTTGAAAGGCTAGGGCCAAAATGTTGGCTGTCTTTGTAGCCCTCCTTTTTCTCTAATTTTTGGTCTGCAAACTTAGGTTGTTAATCCTCCAGAAGAGAAGCTTATTATTATTACCCTACAACCTAGGCAGTTGAGCTTAACCTGTCTGTGTGAATATCAAACATCTTAGGTATGATATGAAACAGTTATTTTTCATCAAATATTGATTTGTTAAACTTTAAGTCCCTACAGAGTATGAAGAAAAAAATTTTTTTTAAATATATTTTTAAAAATTGGAGTAAACAATTACATATTTTACACAGCTTAGAAATCTAACCATATACAGCACTGTAGTAGGACAAATAGAAAGGTATAACAATTAAAAGGAAAGAGAGAATTTGAGGATTAGACAAAGAAGAGAGAGCAAGGTCACTATTTTTAATCCTCGTCTTCAGATAAAGAAGTTGAAGACCTGCAAGCCAGTGCAGGTGAGAAAGCACCTGTGCACTCTATGGGCCTCTGCAGGATACAAGAGCATGGGGCTTGGCTCTATGGGAAGCACCCCAGACTCCCTTTCTCCTCGACTGCCTCACCTGTAGCTGGAGATACTAATGAAGGTGGAACCAGCTTTTCTCTACCAGAGCCCTCTCTCACAAGTCATCCTACCTCCAGGGTCCAGCACCTAGGACACGCTCTGTTAATGTACCAACTGTGCAGTCCCTTTCTGGACATCTTTGGTTGAAAGAGTGCCAGCAAGTGAATCTTCCAGATGCCAAGACGAGATGTCACCTGGACCCAGTTCTCCCTGCTCTGCACACATCAGGCCTGCCCAAAGTGGCCCACAGGGACTGCAGTGCTTCCTAAAGATCTCTGCTCCGCACACACCATGAAATCGTTCCTCATGGCTGGGTACCAACAGAGAAAAGCCCACCCACTTCTCAACCTCCATTCTCCAGTGGCTGAGAGCACAGAGGTGCCCAGCAGCCCAGGCCCTCGGTTATTCCTTAGACCAAAGGAGTCCTTGGGATGCACTGACCCTTAAGAGGGAAAGTGAGGGAAAAGATGCACAGGCTCCCTGGCTGCAGAGGGTCACCAGCAAAGGCAGAAACAGAAACCTGTCCACAGTGTGACCCAGTCCTGCTGAGCCCCTGCCACACCTGTTGGTGGGCCAGCAGAAACCCTTCTGCACATCCCTACCATGTCACACTGGAGCTCAGACCTGCCCACCCTCCCGGCAGGTGGCAGCACAGTATCCTCAGGCTCCCATCCCCCCAGTATGATCATACATGAGGTGGGTCTCCCCATGAGGTGCCCCTCGATGCACCAGGCCTGTTGTGGGAGAATCAGGCTCTCTGGATTGCATCCCACAGCACCCAGGGTAAAGTACTGTTTACCAAGGTGGAGGCAAGGCAGGACACTGGGGTTCCTGCTGCCAGCTCAAGGCTGGAGGGGCATGAGAACAAGGCTGAGGCTTCACAAGAGGGCCAGCAGATAGGGTGTGAGTGGAGCCACATTTCCAAGCCCTGCTCGCAGCCAGCTCCTGCAGGCAGGAAGTCAAGGGACCTGGCAAGACAGGACAGTCGGTGCCCAGAGCTCAGGGCTCTGGGCCTAAACCTACACCAAGACTAGGGCTGCAGTGTGCCACTCTCAGCTCCTATAAATGGAAGAACACACCAGTGTTGCCTGGCTATGCTTTGCATTAAACTCACCTTGCTTCCAGGGATAGCAGAGGAGCTTCTCCTGAATTCCCAAAGCCCTCTTATGCTGGCACTTGGTCTGGGAGCTGCCCATGAAGAAAGGTCTGCCTGTAACCTTGGAAACCATGATGGGACACCACGTCCCCTGCCACTGCTCTGGGGCTTTCCAAAGAGGTGGCTGGCCCCTTGGTCCACTGATTGCTTCCCTACTAAAGCAAAGTGGCCGCAGTCCAGGGCAGCTCCAGGAGTCAGGCAACTGCTGCAGACACCAGCTCCTCTGCCCAGGGTCACCACTTCCTTCAGGCCCTGACCTGTTATTCTCTGAAGGGAAGTAACACCTCTGGCTAAAGGGTTCATTTTGAGAGCTGTGTTTCAGAAATGACTGTTAAACATGGCACTTTCTATTCTGGCTGGAGACTTCAAGTACCTGGTGATCTGAGCGTATCCTTTAGGTGAGAATGTGCCTCTGGAGTAGCAAGTCCCTTGCACAGGGGACTCTGGGTGACCTGTGCAGCAGCAGGATATGTGGCGCACTGGCTGGAGGATGGTCCAGGCCAGCCCTCTTGGGTATAGGACACTGACACCAACAAAGCCACCTTCAACTTCAGAACAAAGTGACCAAGCATCAAAGCAAACAGTGCAGCAAATGGGTCCAAAAAAAGTTTATTCTGAATATTTAATTTTTTAAAAAATCATACCTATGAGGTGTGCTACAGAAATCCAGATACAGTAAGTTGTATACAAAACCCAACCTAACAGTGGAAAAGCAAGGACTCTGCAGAAATCATTTCCAGAGAGAAGTTGCGTGCATCATGACCGCCAAGTGTCCCCAACAGCTGAAACATTCTATGCATCTGCTAGAAAGACACCTGACCCCTGATCATGTGCAGACAGCACTGGTCCTGGTGTCTCGAGAAGAACATGCATTTATTCCCCCCTGCACGTGGCAGGCGATATGGGCACAGCGGCTCAAAGAGACACCACTGTGGCACACTGGGAAGAAACGCTTGCTTGCTCCCAGTCATATTTTAGCCACATCCATCAAATTTTACTAATTGAATGCGAGATTTTGGCAACACGCACAACCCCCCAAGGAGGGCAAGCTTCTGGCAGTTCACACCTAGAAGGCACCTGGCTCTCTCAACTAGGAGCCATAAGGCCACACCCGCTATGCTCCACTGCACAAGCTGAGAGTCTGAGTGTCAGAGCAGCAGCCCTGTGTGGTACCCAGGGCCCAATACTAGCCTCAAGCTCACCACTAAGCCTAGGGCCTGAGACAAGTGGTGAGGGAACAGTGGAAGGACTTGGTGACACCTCACAGCAGGGCAGGAGTCGGGTCGGGTGTCAAGAGAGTCATGGAGACAGGGAAGAGACAAGACAACGGCTTGCGAGAAAGCCTCCGACAGCCTGGGGTCTCCCGCCCGACAGGGAAGCCAGCACCCCTTCCAGCGGTTCCCACCAGTCCAACCCTTGGCCAGGTCCCTTCCCTCCGCCCTTGAGCACAGATGTTCTGGAAAGCTTCTGATGTGGGCAGCCACTCCCAGAGCTGTCTGTCCTGGGAGACCCGCTGTCGTGACTGACATACGGACAACATGCACTACTGACCTCAGGAGAGCCACGGGCCTCTGAGTGGCTGCACATGACAGCCAATTTGGCAAAAAAAAAAAAGAATTTCAAAAATAATCACCAAAGTCCTCCTATGGATCATGATTACAATATATTAGCAAATTCTGTGGCATAAACATTTTCAAAAGCATCAGCAAAAGTATTAAATATAAAAGCAATATGTATATTCCCCTCCCTACCCTCAGAAAAGAAAACAAAAACAAAAAATACAAACCCAAAACCCCAAACCAGCGAAGGCATGATCTGTAGTGTGAATCTGTGCAGGCGCCAGAAGGCAGGCCTGCCGCTTACTGCCGCAGTTCCACGTAGTTGGCTGGGAAGAGCCCGTACCGGCCCTTACACACACCGCGCCACCAGCCGTCATCAATCATCTCAATGTTGCTGATGATGTCATCAGGGTCAAAGGAGATTTCATCATCGCCCGCTAGGAAAAGAGCACAAAGAAACACATTTCCAGGAGGGAAGAAGGAGCATGCAGGCAACAACAAAACAGCAGCCCCAGCTGATGGAGGGCTGGGACGTGCAAAGGCGAGCAGGGCCTTCCACACAACACCCACCCCTGCCAGCTACCATCTTTTGGGAAACGGCTTTGCGCACAGCAACCTGGCTTCCTTCCCTGGGAGAGTGAGGAAAGGCTCCCACCAGCCAGAGGCACAGTGGGAGGACATGTAGGAGGAGCAGTCAGGGAGGGTGGTTCTCAACACAAGGGAGGAGCCCAGAAAGGAGCCCAGGTGACAGGCTGGAATGGGGGTCACGGGGTGAACTCAGTATTCTCAACTGTACACACAGATGCAGAATGTCAGAGAACCTGTCTAAGAATAAATATACACGTGTGTGCCTGGCATGGCGATACACACCTGTAATCCTAGCACCCATGAGTTCAAGGACTACAAGATAAATTCAAAGCCAGCCCGGAACTACAAATACAGACCCTACCTCAAAGGGAAAAAAGAGGAATGGATACATGTGAGAATGAAGAACAGCAGATGCAGAAAGGCTGCCCTCTGGCTGCTACCACCCCATTCTTCAGAAGGAAGGAGCGAGCAGTGCTGGCCAAACAGCTCAGCAGACTAAAGGGCGTGCTGACGGCAACTGAGACTGGGCGGCAATTGAGACTGGGCGCGGTGGCGTGTGCCTGTAATCCCAGCTGTTGAGAGGCTGTAAACAGGCTAGTAGTGAGACCCTGAACACCCTGTAAACAAACAAACAAACAAACAAACAGAAGGAGCAACTGGAAACTCCATCGAGGAAGGCCAAGGAAGCCTGAGAGGGGACAGGACATGGGGGAGCTCATGATAGCACGCCACAGAACAGTCATCGACTGCTACTGGAGTGGGGAGGACTAGCAGGTGACGGTGCTCAGTGCCACAGAAAAGGGACACTGTGTGGCACAGGGAGGCACTGAGTGTCTCTGGCCAGGAGTAGAAGGTCACAGCCCAAAAACAGGCCCGATGAGGAGGGCTGTGTGATCTGCCCAGAGCGTGGGGAGTGCTTGCAGGAGACCCTGGATGTCTTGGGACATGCATGCTGGAGTTTTTGAGAATCTTGTTTTCTGTTCTTCTGTAGCACTGGGGAGTGAAGAGGGGTCACAACCTATAAGCGCTACAGCCCCAGCACTTTTTATTTATTTTGAGACAGGGTTTTGTTAAGTTGCTCAAGCTGGGTGCAAATCTGCATTCCTATTTCAATCTCCCAATTAGCTGGGATTGCAGGCATGTGCCACCACATCAAGCCTGGGGTACTTAGGGGTGATGGGGACCCTGAAGCTCCAGAAGGGTTTGAGGAATTGTAATTAGGGTGGGGACATGTGTGTACACATGCATGTACACACGTGCAGAAAAATGGAACCTGGCTGAGACAGACACAGGGAGTTCTTGCCACTGTACTAGGAACTTTACTGTAACTGAAACGATTTCCAAACAAAAACTGCAGCAGCATCACTGAAGGGTCAGATTCTTAGGGGCTGAGCTGGCAGGAGCATAAGGCAGGATGCTGCGTGGGTGCCTCACCAGCCTGGTAGTCATAGAGCGCGATGGCCGTGATGCCCAGGTCGTTCTCGTACTCATCATAGGTGTTCTCTTCTGAAAGGAAACAGACACAGCTGAGTGGCAGCCGGGGTTCCACGCACACCTTCCCTCTGCGACTGCTTTCACACAATGATTTCCAAGACTTAGGGCAAGGGCACTTGCTAGGAAAGCAGCTCAGAAAGTGAGCTCCCATCTGATGGCAGCAGGAGGCAGGAACCTAGGCGCCTTTGGGAAACGGAAGACAGGCGAGACTCCGGCTTTCATGCACAAGTCCATGGCTTCCAGCTCCGACACCACGCAGGGAACAGTTTTCCTAGGAAGTCCTGATAGTTTTTAGAGATTTTTAAAACGCAAAATATCTAGTATTGTCACCTGGCACTGAAGTGAATGGGAGGAAGGGACAGGGCAGTCAATGCCCCAGATCCTGCCAAGGCAAGGGGCTTCGCTCTCATGTGTCTTCTCTGTACCAACCACACAGCTCCACATGGGACAAGAGGCTTATGTTGGACCTGGTATACTACAGGAAACCTCCCTTTTAAAGGACAACAACCCCAACTGCAATATTCACCTAAGTCAGTGGTAGTGAACTTTTTAGAGACCAACTACCCAAACTGTAATACAAAACCCACTTACTTATCACAAAATGCCAACACTCCAATAAAACCTGAATAATGAGGCTTTAGTTTAGAAAATGCGACTATCCACTGCTTGGCTGCTAGGGTGACTTGGCTTGCATCTCAACAGAGAGGGCTCTGCGTACCCACTGTGGTATGCATGTCATCGGCTCGCCACCATCGGCCTAAGTGCAATATCTGCACCATCTTCAAGCTGAAGAAAGTGCCATCTTTAAGGTCATCCTGCAGCAGACAGGATGCTTAATGCTCAGAGGAAATGCCTAGCAAAGGCCCCTTCCCGATTCCCGACCTGTCCCCAGCCTCACTGCATCCGAATCCCAGTGACCTTCCCAGGACCACTGCTCCACTGGGGACCACTGTGCCTAGAGCCATTCCAACAGGGAGATGAAGAGTTTGGGGTGAGGGGGCTGGGCAGACGGGAACTCTGAGCACATTCTTTATGGGGAATAAAGCTGGGTGGCTTTCTCAGGGAGCCCACCCCCTCCCAAAGGGCAGAGCAGGGCACCGTACCTGTTTGGTAGTGGCCCGAGACCTCTGTGGTGTCATAGACAGCTTCTGGAGCGTAGGCCAAGCCCTGCTGGCTGCTGGCCTCTGGGTAGTTTATGGCCTCGGTACTGTACACAGGCTCAGGCTCACTCCCACCGGCAGGACCTCCGTGGCTCAGATCTGCCTTCAAGGAGACTGCGTCCTGAGAAGAGTCAAATGAACATTTCCTGTAACTTGGGCTGGCATCTAAAAAGCAGCAGCTACACTGCCAATGTCAACTAAAACACAGGGACTTATTTGTTAGCCTCGGCTGGGATTGAAGAAAGAGACACAGGTCAGGAAGGCTTCAGCTGAAAGGCCTCAGTGGCCCTCCTCCTGGGAGCCCCAGTCCTTACCTGTACCACTCCCAAATCCAGCAGGAACTGAAATCCACCCTCCCCGCTAGGAATCACACACTCACTCCCCACGCTGCGTCCCTAGCGCTTGAGTCAGCCTTCCTGAGTTAGAATTGCCTTTCTGTATGTTAGGTCTCTGTCCTGGCTGCCGCTGCACACTCGCACCAGCCCATGGCTTCTAATTCACCCCCAGTCCATTGTCTGGGGCAGCCACACTGGTGAACAACAAAGTTCTCTTCTAACCAAGCCCTCCATGCAGAGCAAGGTAAGGGAACCACTAAAGAATCACATTCAAAGACAGAAGTACTCAGATGAAATGCACATCATCATTTAAAACAATAACCTGTAAGCCCTGATGGGCTCTCTGAAGTACACATTAATGCTGGCTTCTGTGTTTCTGACCAGGTGACATCTGGGTCACAAAAGTCAAGGCAAGTGGTCAGGAATAGCACTTGCAGGATGCCCTGGCTTTCTCTGGAGGGTGACCAGACCGCAAGAGCAGCCCCATGATTAAGGAGAGCAGGTGACCAAGGACAGCATCTACCTCCAGGACACAAACCAAGGACTATGAAAGTGCAAGGAAGTGACAACACTGGCGAAGTGCCCTGGAACCAGGAGCGACTGCAGAGTGTGCAGGCCCCCTGCTAGGCCCTGTCCTCCCGACTTTCTACAATGACCCCTGCTTCCCCACCCCTTCTCATGGCCCCTGCAGTGCTGCCAATGACATGCTCCACCTCCAACCCCAGGGATAGCAAGGCAGCAGCCTCCTCATCAAAGGACCAGTTCTCTGCGCCTGGTCCAGCACATGACAGGCCACGGACAGCTTGAGGTTTCTCCGTTCATCCAGTAATAAGCTACACGGCCATGTCCACCACACCTGCCATGTGGTCTGACAGGATAAAACCACCACATGGTATAAATGGCAGTGGCAGCCAAGGAGACAGGATACCAGCAGTAGTAAAGACCAGGGACCACCCAGCCCCAGGCCTTGTGCATCTCCACAGTTTTCCTGGGTCCATGACCTCCCTGCATCTTGAGTCCTCAGCAGTTGCTACTCCCTGACATAGACGCAATGCTATCTAGATGAAAGAGGAAATGTGTGGCCCCACAGTGGCTATGAAGAAACAGGACATGGGCCATGGTTCACATGAGAATAGGAACCAGGAGCCTGGGCAGAACACAGGGGACGTCAGGCAGGTCAGCGTCTCAAGGAGGCGGCAAACCTCAAGTCTGTGTGAGGCACCAATGCGGCCCAGAAGAAAGGTGTCTGGGAACACAACACCAGAGCCACAGGAGTGACAGACACTAGGGTGATGTCTCAGTGCTAAGGGAGGATCGGGGTTCTCTCAAGAGTGCAGTCAGCTCAACACAGCACAGGGCTACTGAAGTAAGACCAACAAAACCAACATGACTGGGCATTTGGCACTTGGTGACTTTACCAGGGCTGTAAGGGACAGTGCCCACCAGACTGCAGGGAGCAGCAGAGAAGTAAGAAAGGGTGGCAGGGAGGTCATCCTACCACACTGTTCAGTGTAGGCAGAGCACAGTAGGCCAAACATTGATGATGGCATTGCAAAAGGTCTGAGACTCCTTATTAACCAATGAAAATACTTACCTCATAGACAGGGCTGGAAGGCTGCTTCTCCTCAGCCAGCTGAGGAGTAGGGGACACAGGGGGCGTTTCCTTTTTGGTTCTGGTTTGCTCCTGCAACAGAAAAAAACAAACCAGGAGGTTAACAGTCAGCCTGGAAGGTCATGCCTGCCTCAATGGCACCAGCCTCTCAGAAAAGGAAGGTACCCTTGCCTGAAGAATGGGCCTCGTGCAAGGGCACAAATTACCATCCCAGGCAATGAAGGAGCAGCTGCAGCAAAGGGAGGGCATGCAGTCAGCAAACCGCTCGAGTGCAGACCTCAGTGGCCCGCAGCGCTCCACTGCCCCACGCACTGGCAGACGCACCTCGCTATGCACTAGGCAAAGCCACCACACTGTCACTGGCCTACAGCTCACTGGTGTACCCTCATTCACCCAGATGACACAGGGACACGAGCTGATGCTGTAATGGACTGAGGCTTTCATGGACTGTAACACGAGGTGAAGAGATCTTAGTTGGAAGGAAAATGGGAACCTTTGGCAGCCAAAAGACACAATGAAGTAGACAAAACGCCCCCAGTTCCGACTCCACGGTGGGCCCAATACCATCACAAGGTCCCAATAAGACAGGGAGGAATGTGACAGGCAGCCAGGACATGTGACAGTGGGAGCATAGGCTGGAGTCACAAGAGCTAAGAAACACGAAGCTAGAAAAAGGAGGGAAGCCCAGAGCCTCCAAGGGAACACAGCCCCTCGGACACCACTTGGGGTCCCCTGACTGCCAGAACTGAGAGACAATGAATGTGCTACTTTAACCTGAGTGTAATGTGAGATCTGAAATGGCAGCCACAGCAAACACACCAACAGCCTGCATGCCCCAGAGAGGGATGCCGAGGACAGCCAGCCAAGGAGCTGCAGAGGCGGGATCTGAATCCTGGCACTCATGCTAAACCTGCCCCATGGAACAATGGAACACTTGTCTCATTTTGCTGAAAAGAAAAACCATGCCTGGTTCTTGAGACCGTGAGCAGAGTTCTGCACATCTGTGTGGCCTTGCCTGACCTACAAGGATTTGTCACTTGGAATCATCCACAGGGTTTCAACACCCAAGGCCAGTCACAGCAGCCAGGGCCCAGCCTGCAGGGGTAATTAGATCACCTCACAAACACATCTGCAGGCCAAGGGCTCTACTTCCAGGCCTTCCCAAACCCAACTATGTGAAACCTCAATGGCAGACCACCAGATGGAGGAAGCAAATGTGGATTTATGCACAGGCTCCCTCCTGCTGGGGACATGCTCTGCCAACCTGCACGGGCAGCTCCTAAGGAGCCAAGGGGCTCCACCCAAGACTCCTCATATGCTCCTGGAGAGGAGAAATGTGAGGGGCTGGAAATAAAAAAGGACACAGCTGAGCCTGCGCAGAAGGGGGCTAAACAACCACTGCCCCACTGGGTCTCTCCTCCCAAGCAAGCAGTCAATCTGTGTCTTCTGGATGTATTCAATCCCAGAAAGCTGAGGTTAAAATTCAGTCATGAGATGAGAAAGGTCCAAATTATGTGAAAAGAAGGCAAGATACAGGAAATAAAAGTTTCTATGTGTCTTTGGGTGTTCTACGACAAAGCACAAAGATCTCACTTTATAAAAACTGTAACAAAGAGCTCAGTGGACATATCTAGTCACTAAGAACAGGTCAACAGTACTGACATGAACTCTACTGTTCCTCCATCACCGCAGGTACCAACACAAACCAAGGCTTGCTCATTAATGCCCTCACTCCCAGCACCACCTGCCTACTGCACACTGCCTTCCTCCCTCGGTGGTACTCTCAGAACCCCAAGTGCTGCTTCAAGAAGAAAACATCCAGCACAACGGTTTATATAACAGCTTCATGTGTATTATTATTTTTTTTTTTTTTTTTTTGGTGGAACCAGGGATTGAACTCAGGCCCCTGCACTTGCCAGGCAACCGCTTATTCTACTGAACCATCTCCCTGGCCCCAGTGTGTATTATTTTGGACTCTACTTCTCAACTACCCCAGACAACCAGCCAGGCTATCAGCGAGCTGGGCAGCAGGTGGCAGGGCAGAGCCAGAGCCTGCAGACATCTGTTTTCTACAGAAACTTCTAGAAAGAGAGTTCTTGCTCCCTGCCCAATTCCACAGCCTGTCTCCTCTCCCTCTAGTGAGAGCATCCAGACCACAGGGAAAAGCGGCAGATTGGCCCCAGAGGTCAGAGTAACAAAAAGCACACCTCCTTTCAAGTCTCTCCTGCAGGCTCATTGTGGGAAGGGGCCAACAGTCCCACACTGGGGCAGGCCAACTTGGCAGGGCAGGTATGGGGCTGGTGTCTCCTGCCAGCCTGTGGCTCTCACTTGCTACGGAGAGCCTTTGCAGCCACTGAGGAAAGGAGCAGCCACTGCGAGCCTGAGCACAAGCACAAGCACCCCTCAGCCTCACCCGCTCACATGCTGGGCCGGCTCCTGTCCTTACCTCCAGCTTCCTTCGAGCCTCCTCCTGCTCCTGCCTTTCCTTGGCCATCCGCTGTGCTCTCTCCGCTTCCGCCTTCCGTCTGTCCTCCTGTTCTCTCTCTTTAGCGAGGTTTTCAAAGTTGGCCCTGATGTTGCTGGTCTTGCTGGTCACTGCAGAGGAAGGAGCAAGGGCGCCTGCCTCACAACATCCAGGACGCCCTCACCAGGCTGAGAGCCCACAGAAGGGTGACCCGTCCCCAGCAGCAGGTGGTCCCACCAAGAGGGCACAGTTCACAGCCCCCCGGTGCTCAGCCTGCAGTCCCAGGTCCACTTCTCCATGCTGCACACAGCAGTGCTTGTGTGTTAACCTTGGTTTTTGTTTTTTATTTGTTGAGGTAATGGGAATTGAACTCAGGGAGCCCTGAGCTACATACTCAGCTATTTTTATTTACTTTTTTATTTTGAGAGTTTCATTAGTAGCCCAAGCTGGTCTCAAATTTGCAATCCTCCTGCCTCAGCCTCCCTAATAGCTATGATTGTTGGTATGCATCAGCACAGCCCAGCTGGAATGTTTTTAAATAAAACAACATCATGTTCTTTGCTATCACATGCTGGAAAAAACAAAGAAGTAGGCATCCTTATTAAAAAATGAAAGTCTGTCCTTGGTAAAGCAGAAAAAAAAAAAAAAAAAGACTGATTTTCAGCAAACTCTGACTGCTACATATTGTCTACGGCCACACCATCCTGAATGCAACTGATCTCGCCTGATTGCTACATGTACATTCTGGGTATCTCTGTGACACAAATGGCAAAGTCATGAAGCACTGCTGGCATGTCTCAGAGACCAGCCTCTGCACACCACCCGAGTGCAAGCTGAACCGTTTTCTCACGGAACATCATTTTCCCTAAAATAACAAGTCACAGACTAACTATGCTTATGCCGATTTGGGGATCTGGCAAACATTTTTCCTCCAAAGTGAATGAATCAAATCATTCTGTCAAGAAAATTTACTGCAGTATTTGTTACCAATAGGAAAATTAAAGCTTTCAAGCAAAATCAAGAATTCTGGAGCATCTGTAGCTGCCACAGTGAGCGTGACAACTGTCACTTGAAGACTGTGCCAGTGAGATGGAGAACAAACATGACTTTCTTTGACTGGGTAACGAAAGGGTCAAGAGCTGCACGACAAGCAGAACAGGGGTCTACTGTTTCCCAAACGGCCGGAGTGTGAAGTTACACGGTCACCCTGGGTAAGTGAGCTTCCCAGGTGCAGGAGAGCCGCACACCCAAGAAAATACAGCCCACCATGCTCCAGGCAAATGACAGAACACCACGGTGACCTCGGAGGCCACCAGGGCCCCTCCTTTCCACCTGCTGATTGAGTCGAGCCCAGCTTTCCTTTACTGTATAAATGATCTGACTTACTGCCACAGACAAAACATCGGAGCAGACGTGAGATTCCAATTCCACTATCGTCTAGTAACGGGATTCACAAAAACATGAAGTGATGCCATGCTCCTAAAGGCTCCTTATACTGAAAATCACATTGTTTGTTTTCCTGAAGTTATTATGTACATGTATAATGACTTTATTTTTACATGAATTAATTTAAAACTTTCCTCCATTTTAATTTATAGTGCAGTAGGCATCAACAACTGCAACCAGCACCATGGAGGCTCTTTGCGACCCTCAATGATTCTCAGTATCAAACTGGCCTGGGAGCACAGAACCTAGGAACTGACCCAGGGCGCGTGTAGTGAGGCTACAGCACCCCGCAGCTCACCACCCCTCCTCTTTTCTGCTTCTGTTGCTGTAGTTTCTGCTTTTCTTTTTGGGGGGCAGTACTGAGGCTTGAGCCCACCCCAGTCTTCTACAGTTTCCTGAGACAGTTCTAAGTTGCCAAGACAGAGCCTAAACTTGCAATTCTGCCTTGTGCTCTCGGAGTTTGAGGGCTACAGGCCTGTGCCACCCACTAGCACACATTTCCTCTAAAGTGAGCCAGAAGTGGGTTTCTGTTTCCCATTTTTAAGGGGCCCTTCAGACACAGGATTTTGGGGCTCTGGGTAAAATCTGTTGTGAGAGAGACTTTCCAAAGCAGGAGGGGTTAACTGTGTCCTCAGGGTCCCTGCACTGTGGACACAGGATTCTGGGAGCAGTACACATGCTCCTCTGCTCTTGTCCCCTGTTCTCCAACCTTCCTTTCCCCCTGGGATTTTCCTGGAAAAACACCAGGACATGGACTTTCCTGCAGTGAAGACCACGGAGTACTTTGGGGGCTGTCCAGGACTCACCAGCTTCGACAGGGACAGTCTTCTGGTAGGCAGAGGATACCTGTGCCACGTCTTCAAAGGTGGACGCATTCTGTGAGATGGAAAAAGAAATCAGGAGCGTGCTCCTCTCTTCCCTACCTGATGAGATGTTAGGGCCTCCTCGCATCCCTCAAAAGACCCAGGTGCCCTAAGGCTTTCTACTCTGCCACTGTGTTCTGCAGATTCACTGAGGCACAGCAACATTTATCCACACACACTTGCTGCTGACCATGAGTGAGTGTCACACATACGTCCTACCATCCACTCAGTGACAAGCCACCTCTGTGCTGCTCAAACCTGCCTACGTCCTCCCTAGAAGCCTCTGCTCTGCAGGGGAGGGACACTCGGGACACACAGCTCCTGCTAGGCCAGATGCTCCATGTGTCCCCATAAGCATGACACCACCACTCTGTTTCAGTTAGGCTCTCCACTACATCCCATGGAACCTGCTGTGACATCAGGCCCTAACCAGCAGTCCTGAGCACAGGCTGACAAGGTCCTTAAAAATTAATGACCTTCTTCAGTTTCATCGTGAGCTTCCCTTCTGACAGGAGTGCTGAGCTTTCAAAGCTCACTGTTAAGAGAGCCCAAAGGTGGGGCCAAGGCAGCCCATCAGCTGCCTGAAAGGAGCAAAACCACGCTTACCTCCGGCACAGGCACAGGCAGCAGCAGCTGCACAAAGGAGACCAAAGAGGACGCTGGCTCTCATCAGCTCTCCCCTCTACCAGTCCTTCCACGGCAGGCCCGAGAGCCTACCCCAAATGACGTCGTCCTTGGCCAGAGCAGCCCCACACACCCCCGTCCTCCCAACCTCCATGCCCAACACATCCAGGTGGAGAGTCCATGCCCCAGGGGCCTTCACTCTAGACCCAGCTCTGCCAAGTCTACAGCTCAGCCGCTCGTTGCTGACTAAACCCTTTCCTTCTTTCCAAACATGCTGCCCTAGACAGTCTGACACATCTTCCAGAACAATCCCTCCCAGCTGTCCAGGGAACTCCTGCCTGTCCTGCAGCCTGGGTATTGAGGCCAGCACCCTGATTCCTCCTTTTGCTATGGAGGGTGGCTCCTGAGTCCTCTCACCCTGCGTCCACAGTGGAGGCCTCTGGCTTGCTGCTCAGGGGCCATCTCTCTGTCCACACTCACCCCCAATCCACATCACCCCTATGCCACCCCTAGCATACTGTATCCAGCTTCCCTCACGCTACCTCACCATCAAGAGCTACTTTGCTCTGCATACCCAGCCTGTACAGGAGGCAAGCATCCCACCGAGCAACACTACAGCCTTCGGCTGGCTGGCAGATCACAGCCTTTCCCACTTGCCACCTTCCTCAGACCCCGCTCCTTCCTCCCCACATCAGCCTTGTTCCATCCTCCTTCCCTGTCCAGCCTAGAACCAGGATCCAGAAGAGTGACCACTCTTACCCTGGATCAACCAATACCTATTGCAGTCTACCTCAGTTGAACCTCCCTCCTGTCCATGACAGGATAGGCTGGCACCTCAAAATGGCAAGGTCACTGGCCTCACCCTGGGCCACAGATGCTACCGCAGGCTCAAGTTCTCAGAGACCCACCAGGCTCTCTGGGACAGCCTCCCAGCACAGCCTGGTCCTGGCAGTAGCCTCATTTTGTAAGCCCCAGGTTTCATGACCATGTAACAGCTCCAAGGGAGAAGCACAATGCCTCATGCACAGGTTGAGAAGGGCAATGCCTGCCTTGCATGCTTGCTTCTATGCTGTGTGCAAGCTCAACAGTCACTGTCATTACCACTGACAACAACCCCATACAAGAGATGGAAACTTCCTCAACTCCCAACCGCAAAGCCACAACTTCTGTCTCATTCACTCATTAGTTCCTTTCTTCTTCCTGTCTGAGGCCCTCAACCACCGGGCACTTCACAGGGTTCCCTGCCACCACCTTAGAGCCTCCCTTCCGAGCATCGTGTGACCTGGGCCCTGTCATAAGACAGGCGCAGCCCTGAACTGGAGGAACTCCAGGGCTCAGGCAGACCTACCCTGTGTGCTTCCCCAAGTTCCCAACTCCACACCAACCCACTGGCCACTTGGGCTCCTCTCTTTCCTGGGCCATTGAAGACAAACCCCAGCTCTGCTACTCGGTCACCTAGACGCCTATGGCATCCAATATTTGTCCCCTTGCAATTCTCAGCCTAAGCCAATACAGTCTTCAGGCTGCTAGGGCCACTTACTCTCAGCAATCTTAGGCTAACTTCCATGGTGCAGTCGGGGCTTCTCAGGGCAGACCCCACTCTCGTCCCCTGCCTGCTAAACCCATCCAGGGCCCAGTGTCCATTTAACAATGTGAGGACATTACATAGTTTGCAAGGCTCCCTTCTCCAGCACCTGCAGTGACCCCATCCCCACACCAGGTCATGTACCCTATCCTTTGCTCTGCAGTCTCCCGCCCATCTTTGCTAGCAAACTCCTCCCCACCCTTCAGAACTGTGCTGTGACTACCCACTCCTCTGGACCCCTCAGCCTGTGCGGTCTACCCTGTAGTGTGCACCCCAGTTTCTCCCATGGGCCCTGGTCATGTGGGGAAGTGCACAAGGAAAGGTCACCTGTGAGGTCGGCCACAAATTTCACGGCAGCAGAGCTGAGAGATCCCACCACATTACCTGTTGCTACAGCCAAGGGCAAGATGACCCCACAAATGGTCTCACATTAACTCTATTTCCTGATTTACCATTAATAATTGAAGTTCAAATAGCTGCACAACCTAGTGACAGCCCAGCTATTCACTGCTATGTCATGGCCAAGCACCAAGACTGCCCTGTTCAGACTGCGACTGACAGTGAGTTAGCCACTGCTGTCTTTGAGACACCAAGCTCAGGTGGACTGCTAGGGCCATGAGCTGAGTGTCCACCTGACAACAGCCACCAAACAGCAACTGCACAGAGGGAGGACCGCAAAAGCCCTGAGCCTACCCACAGAAAGCTGTACTCCCGGAGCTGAAGAAGCTTACCTTATCCATGCGATCTTTCTGCACCCCATACTTCCCACCAAATCCTTTGGAGTAGTCTGAAAGGTGAGAAACACAAGACTTACTCTGAGGTGGAAGATAGGCCTGAGCCAAGATGAGTGCAGGTGCATGCAAACAGGTCTGAAACAGCCCAAGGAAACCCTGGCAGAAAGAACCAAGAGCTCCCACAGGACAGACTTTCCTGCCAGGCAAGCTGAGTCTGACCCACGTCCAGTGCACAGGCAGGGGAGCAGGACAGAGGCGTGGGCATGCTTCCAGCATTCTCCCGAGGGAAGGGGAGGGGACAGGCTGCAGGCTGGGGACAGGCTGCAGGCTGGCAGGAAATAAGCCAAGGAGGGGGCACAGGACAGGCCTTTGCGATGCGCCACTTCACTAGCACAGTCTTCCACACCAGCCTCGGGGCTTATTCTCATCTGTTTCCTGCGCGCCCGAACTACCCAGCACTAAATAGAGGCTCAGTTGTGGTTTGTTTTCTTGCTTTTTAAAAGAAAGAAAATACTCCATGTGGACATTCTACCAGCCAGGTAAGTCTGCTGCAGCAAAACACATCCACATGAAAGTCACACTGTCATGCAGGCTCAATGCGAGGAGACCCAACGGCCCTCTCCATGCAGTCTGCGGGCCAGGCCCAAGTGCGCTCACCTGCCCCATGCCTGAGCCTGCGCAGTTCTAACAATGCGCTGAAAGCCTACACTCTGCCCTGCACTGCTGGAAATCACTGTTCACTCAGTCGTGGGTCCAGGTTCTAGTAACCAAGTCCTCTGATGGAGAACTCTGACGGAGAGCAAGTGACTACACTATGGAAAATGCGTGAGCTATCTGGAATTTCAGTGTGCAGCCCTAGAAAGGGCACTTTTCAGTTGTGTGTATACACTGCGTAGTCCATGTGGAGATCCTACACATGGATAGTGTCAATTAAAAAAAAAAAACGGAACAAACAAAACCACCCACTCTGTCCAAAAAGCACCACCACCACAATGAAACACAGAAATCACACAGAACATGCCTATCTCAAGCCCTTGCTGCTACCAAGCCTCTGGCGGAAGGGTCAGGGCTGCTGGAACTAAAACCCCACTCTCCTAACCTCAGGCAACAAGGCCTGGCTCGATGACCCAGAGAAGTCATGGTCACAAGCAAGCAAGTGGTGCAGGATGCTGCTGGAAGACCACAGGACCCTTCCAGAAACTAAATACAGAGTGGGGTTGGAGCTCAAAATCCGTGACCTGTCATTTCTACCCCAACTGTCCTCTAAAAGGTCGGTGGAAGAAAAAAAATGGGAAAGGGGAAGCTTAATTTCAATGGGTGGAGGCTGTCCAATGGTCTGACAGCTGGTGACTAGGAAAGCCCGTTGCAGCTCCGATGTGAACCCCAAAGCCTGTGCTAGAAGTGGCTGCACCGCAAGGGAGGGTGGGAAGAGGCGGGGGGCAACTGTGCCTTGCTGGGACTCGTGCTTGGCCAGTCTCTCCTTGTAATCAAACCCCACAGCGGAGGAGTCCTGCCTCTCGGACTGAACACCAAATTTGCCTCCGAAACCAGTCTTATAATCTGGAAATCCACATGTGACAATGGGGAAAACAACCAAGAGAGGAAACATGGGGTGCATTAGAATCACATCCACTTGTGCAACGTCCAATACACGGTGTTTGGGGTTCATTTTGTTTTTTTAAATTTATGTATTTGGTACAGGGTCTCATTACGCAGCTCAAACTCAAGTGATTCTCCTGTGGTCAGCCTCCCCAGCACTGGGATTACAGGCGTGTGCCACCACGCCTGGACTCAGTCACCAGCTCAGTGCACCTGGAGGTGGGGCCAGCGCAGCATGGGGATCAAAGCCTAGTCCCTGAGCTTGCCTAAGTAGGTACTTTGTCCACTGAGCTATCTCACCGGCCCTCACTACATGGTTTTCAGAGAGCAAGAGCTTGGGTAAGCTTAGAAGGATGTGAGGATCTGAAGTTATCTTGAATGGCTAAGGAACAACTTGAAAGGGTAGTAGCACTTCAGCCCAGACCTGGAAGCAGCTAAGGACTGTACTGTCAGTAGTTCAGTAAAGCCACTCCATGCTTGGAAGTTTCTCTCTAGGGTCCAACCCATGCTTCTGAGAGACATCATTACAAAGGACGCCCTGCCCCACCCCTGCTGGGTACAGGGTGGCTGCCTGAACCCTAGCTTGGGGCAGGGGGGCAGATGGAAGGCCTCTGCTCCCCCTGAACTGACGCTCCCAGGGTCAGAGTCCTTGTTGTGACCATAAAACACTGCCGGTTAGAAAGGAAGCATCTGCCGCCACAAACCACAGCACACTTTGTAATCAAGGCCTGGAGCCCAAGCGTGCTGTGCTTCAATATGGTTCCCAAAGGGCAGAGGCAAACGCTCCCAGCAGTGCCACTGACGGGGCCCCACACTGTGGAGACACGACCCTCATGTGAGTGAGCATTCTGCAATATTAACTAGCTCAGGGGCTTCTGAAACTCTGAGACAGCATCACACAGCGAAGACACAACACCTGAACAGAAACGCAGCAAATACAAAACATAATGACTGAGGGCTGGGGAGATAGCACAGTAGAATAAGTGCTTGCCTGGCAAGTACAAGGCCCTGAGTTCAATCCCCAGTACCACAAAAAAACAACAACAACATAATGACTCATCTAAGAATGGACAGAAACTCTCAAAATGGTCTTGATTATGGGCAAAGAGAATGTACCTTTTTGGGATTCATGCAGCTGTAATTTCTCTTGGTGATCCCAGCCAAGGGCACATTTGTCTTGTCTGTCTGTTTGCACACCAAATTTTCCTCCAAACCCTTTCACATAGTCTACATGCACAATAAAAGGCCATAATCTGGTGTTAACAAGGCAGCCTGGGTCACAAGTAGAAAGCAGGTTTCCAATAATGCAATTTAAGACACACAAGTCGCTAAATCCACCCTTTCTTTACCAGAGCTTTGGTAAAACATCTGTTAAGAGGCCCTCCACACAGAGTGGCCAGAAAATCCCCTTGTCTGTAATCTCAGCATTCAGGGTAAACACAGACAGGCCCACCCAACGCACAAGGCTTACACCAGCACGTGGAGAAAGCACAGTCTCACTTACGGACAGACGTGTGGGACAAGGACATTATTATGAGCAAAACTGCTAGAATTTAAAACCAAAAAAAAAAAAAAAGTGCAAACTTCTGATCTCTTATTTAAGAGCTGTGTTTTTGGATTCACTGTTTGCTGTTTTGGCTTCTGTTTTTTGAGGCTGGGTGTCACTATATTGCCCAGGATAGTCTTGAATTCCTGGGCTCAAGAGAGCCTCCTGCCTCAGCCTCCTGAGTAGCTGAGACTACAGCCATGAGCCATGGCATCTGGTGATGCCCTAGCATTGTTTCAAAACTGAATACTTAGTAAAAAGGAAGGATCATCTGGACCATTTTGTTGCTCGCCTTCTATCCAGGTTAATGCCTGCCACATTACTCTTCTGACTACAGAATAAGAGAAAATTGAAGACACCTTTCTGGGACTCATGTTTCTCTGTTTTGCCTTGATACTCAAAGCCGACGGCACTTTTATCCACTTTGTCCTTGTCAATGCCATATTTGCCACCAAAGCCTTTGGAATAATCTGCAAAGAAGAAAAGACTACTTAAAACTAGCAAACAGATTCAGTGAGTCTTAATAGTTATTAAGAAAGTACTATCAAAAAAAAAAAAAAAGTACTGTTAGAGGCTGGGGATTAAGCTCTGTGGCACAGCCCCTGTCTAGCAAGCAAGAGGGTCCAAGTTCCACTCCCAGCACCCACAAAAAAAAAAAAAAAAAAGAAAAGAAAAAACAAAGTACTGTCATCACTAACTTTCCCCCTTGGGTTTCTGAGACAAGGTCTTGCTGCACAGCCCAGGCAAGGAGCTGGGATTACAGGTGCTCATACCCATTCCCAGGAAGGACAGAGAGGTGGACTCTTTCAAGCTTGCTGGAAGATCACTGAGTAATGCAGACAATACCACGTCATAATATAAACCTAAAGATGGTGAAGACCTCAACATTTGGACCTGGACTGACCTGAAAGGTGCACGTGCTAAAGGCTTGGTCCCCAGCTGCTGGTGCTATGGGAAGTGTGGGCTAGCTGGGAGAGGTGGGTCACTCTGGGGGCTTTGGAAGGACAGAGTACTTTATCCCCACCCACCTTCTTGTTCGCTATGAGAGACGCAGATCTGCTCTGTCATGTGGCTCACTGTGGCCCAGAAACAACATGGTCAAGTGACCACAGGCCAAGAGTGTAAGCCAATACAACCCTTTCCTCCTACGAGGTGTTCATCCCAGGCATTTTATGACAAGGATGAAAAGCTAATGAACAGCGGGTTAATAATCTCAGTGTCACTCCTCATTCCAAAAGACAGCAGGAAGTAACAAGGCTTGAGACTAACATGCTATAGCAACATGATCCAAATCTCTAAAGCAAGTAGAAATGTGCTAGGGAAGACTTAAAAAAAACCAACACACAAGGCACATCTTCCAGAAACATCAATTCTACTCAAAGCCAAGTCATTTAAAAGTCATTTCAATTCTAAAGCATGACTCTCATGGACTTGGCTATGGCAGAGCGCGGAGCTCAAATCCTGCGATCAAAGGCCCAGGGCATCGAGGCCCAGGACTGTTCTTCCTGCTCCGAGCCAGTGCAGCATAGGACTGAAGGCCAAGCCCCAGGGAGTGCTGCACACACACTGGCCTGGGCATGAGGCTGCACACTCCAGCTGAGAGAAGCCCAAGGCCAGAGGCAGGCCGGCAGTTGAGCCCCGGCAAACCACAGGCACTGTGTGACAGACACTGTGTGAAGGAAAACACTAGTACAGCCTGCCTTGAACAGCCATCGGTATTGTCTGCTTTCTTTTGTTTTTAATTGATTTTTTTTTTTTTTTGGCGGAACCGGGGATTGAACTCAGGCCCTTACACTTGCCAGACAAACACTTATTCTACTGAGCCATCTCCCCAGCCCCTCTTTGGTTTTTAAAAGAAATCAGACTTCGATGTTCAAATGTTGGCAGTCATTAAAAAAAAAAAAAAACCCTCAAAAGTGCAGGCCAGACAAAACAAATAGTATAGAGGAGCAGAGAAGCACTGACTACCAGCAGGGTATGGACTCTGATAACCTGCAACTCGGCAACAGAAGGTTTTTGAGTGGGTCTGCCAGGTATGAAACAATACAGAGAAAAGGCAGTGTGTCCTCTCACATCAACCTGGCAGTGTTTTATCAACTTCAGGGCTGTTCAGAGGGCCAAACCACAAACACAAAGCCTTGCACATGCTAAGCGCATCTACCACTAACCCATATCTTCAGCTCCTATCAAAATCTTAGCAGCCTCTGAACTTCTCACTTCATTTTTACAAACTGGTCCTTTTGAATAATCGCTAAACCATTCAGTGCAATCAATGTTTAATATCAAAAATTGCAAATAACCTAAATTTTACATTCAAAGGAAGAATGGTTAAACAGACTATGGAATCTTTTTAGAATGAGGGACTGAGCAGCCACTAAAAACATAAGAAGGGGACGGGGAGATGACTCAGTAGAATAAGCGCTTCCCTGGCAAGCGCAAGGCCTGAGTTCAATCCCCAGTTCCACACAAAAAAAAAAAAAAAACCATAAGAAGTCCACATCTACTCACATAAAAAGAACATCAAAACATTTTTTTTTTTTAAAGCCTTACAACACAACCCAGTTCATACAGGGAAGAATATCCCTTCAAGTGTTCCTTGACTCATAAATGCAGGACAAAGACAGGAGAGAAGCCCCTCACCTTTCTGTGACTCGTGCTTCTCTGTCTTGCCCTGGTAGTCGAAGCCCACAGCACTCTTGTCCACTCGGTCAGCCTGCACACCATACTTGCCACCAAAGCCACTGGAGTAGTCTGAGGAGAGTGGAGAACAGTGAGCATGAACACAGTAACCAGCTGCAGTGCCACTCTTTTTAAACTAGGCAAAATGGGAGTGTTGGGAGTTAACAGCAACCAAGAAAAGGAGCATGCATTTTAAAGCGGACAAGCCACCCACTGTTCCTAACAGGTGACACTGGCACGTGTACAGCCCATGCACAGGACAGCATGTGTCCATGTCCACTGCTCCAGGGCAATTCATGACCACTGGCAGAGATAAAGCTGCATGGCCACTTTAGAAACTGGACAAGTGGGGCCAGGGAGATAGCTCAGCAGAATAAGCGCCTGCCTGGAAAGCACAAAGGCCTGAGTTCAATCCCCAGTTCCACAAAAAAAAAAAAAAAAAAAAAAAAAAAAAAAAGACAAGTAAAGGTCAGGCATCAAGAAAGCTCCACAGCTAAGACCTTACGGATCAGACCCTCCTGCTCCGTCTGCCCACACCTCAGTTAACTACACCTGTACTGCTCATGAAAAAGCTCATTCCCAAATTATGAGACAATGTACAAAAGACAGAACCAACTAAGCCTGCAGAAAACACACGGAGCATTCTAAGGAAGCAATATACCTTTGCCTTTAAAATACGGCTTCAGAGACATCATAAAGATGAATCACTACCACACTTACCACTTTATATATACAAAGAGAATGAGAACTTAGTAACTCTGCTCTCTATTCGTAGGAGGAAAACTTAGGTTTTATGCCAACAAAGTCAGAAAGCAGCACCACTCAGAAGAGGGATGGCTTCCGCCACAAGCCGGGAGGCACCATGAAGACAGCAGCCCGCAGAGCTTTAAGAGCGCTTCCTGACAGTGCGCCCAGGTGACTCAGAACCTCAGAGCAGAGCTCTCCCTAGGTGACAGCCCTCCCGCCCGAACACAGGCTTCAGATACCGGGCCTCTCCCTTCAGAGCTGGGCTGCCTACAGGACTGCATCTGGTCCCACCACACATTCCATAGCTCACCTTTCTGGGAGGCATGCTTCTCTGTCTTCCCCTGGTACTCAAAGCCTACTGCAGACTGCAATTACAGAAAACAAAAGGCAAAATGCACTTTTAAATGCCTCAAACTGTCACTCTGAATTCACAGTATATATAAAGCTTCAAAAACCACAAACCACACTATAGTTTGACTTGTTTCCTAAGTCAAATTCAGGTTAAATTAATGCCAAAAGCTCTGGTGTTGTGAGCTTACATGCTATCAAATGTCCTACAGTCATATATGGTAGCAATGCTAGTTTGAAGCCACCTGGGCAACTTAGTGCAACCTGGTTTCAAAAATGGAAAGGGCGGGGGGG